ACAATGATTAGTGGTAATCGTTTCAAAATGTTGTTTTATCATTCGACTCCCAGTTTCTTTTTCATTAATGATTTTCTCTGGAATCTCTCTTCCATAGCTCATGAAGTGATCTTGCCTTCTTTCATGAGCGAGAGTAGACATAAATACGTATGTGCGGAATAACAATAGGATCAAACATAGATCGTCCGTATCGTCTATGAGCAGACCCTTGAATTGCTAAGTCACGTAATAAGCTTCACGATAACGAAATTGAAGAAAAAGGGATCAATTGTTTTATCATATCTCTCTAGCTTTAACCTTGGAAAAGTCAACATCTGTCTGGATAAGCACATGCTTATTTTAATTTGAGGCTATTCTCATTTGTAAATAAGTCTCCAAACCAACAAGGATACCAGAAAAAAAAAAAAAAAAATTACCACAACTCGGTACACAGCAAAGGTGTGCCGCGCTCACCATACGAGGTCTTAGAAAATTAGTTTCTTTGCAGTAACTATGCAGGAAGCAATAGTTAGATGAATGACTACGTAAGCATAGTTTGTAAACCTGAATAAATACTTCGTAGATTGAACAGGTCGTAGTTCTTTGAATAAGATGTCCTCATATTGTGGTTTCTCTACAACTCAAGTCTATGAAATATAGATTATGCTTAACACAGGTTGCTTGAATTTTGAGGCATATATTTAAAAGTCCGAGAACTCTCTGAGAGGTTTTTGGGAACTTTAAGATGAAGTTTGTATCGTCGCTGTCTATTTTTAAAACGTCCATGTTGCTGTGGATTTCACTTTTCTCTCTAATGCTGTCGTAATTTCGCGTGAGCGGCTCGTTGTTGGTAGTCATTTTAACTCCGCCATGTCGCCTTTTCAGAGCTGTGTTGCCTGTCGGAATTTACCCCAACAGGGCCTCATTAACGGCATACAACGTTTTCAAACGAGTTTTCCGAAATTTCCATTTTCCAGTCATTATTTAAATACGCCTTTACTAAGCAATTCATTCAGTCGGAAGCAAGTTTTTATCACAATATAAGGCGACTGTTGTGATAGACCGCATCGACTCTTAATTGAGCAAAGCTTCTATTTTTCGCTTCTGTTACTGCTGCTTAATCTAACTTTCTCCGTAGCCAAGATTTCGTGGAAGTGCTAGGGTCAAAAGCTGACAAATTTTCCGGTTTTGGATAGTTAACTACACAAGAATCCCGACTAAGTTTGAGATATCCTTAGAGTTCTATCAAACAAGCATACAATGTTTTCAAGCGAGTTTTCCGAAATTTCTATTATATTCTTTGATGCCAATGTTCCATTCCATTGATTTTCCACTCATTATTTAAATACACCTTAGCGAGACAATTCAGAGTCGGAGTAGGTACCTTTAAGTTAAGAGATTTAAATCTCTTAACTGTGATTGTTTCTTTGTCGCGAGACAAAAGCATTTATATTCCGCCTATATATCAACTTTCCAGCACGCAATATTCGTTTAATTTTCTAGAAGTATTCAGAACAACTGAGTGCTAAATCAGACACGAACTGATATTTTAATGTACGAAAAAGGCAATAAAGGGGTGTCTTCTATCAGTTTAAAGGGGGAGGTTTCTAACGAGACTGTGGTGCCGCGGTGCCGCGTCGGTGGGGGGTACCTCAAGATAAATTGGTGTTAGCATGTACTAAAACAGTGAATAGTGTTCAAAGTACGCTGTGATTTGCTACCCAAACTCCGAGTATCCTTTGCTATTCATCTTCGAGCAACTCGCTCCTGATTTGTACCCGAACATGATGTAATCGTCGCTAGAATAAGTGTGTTTCAAATCATGTTTCAGTGCTATATTATCTCCTTGTTTTAGTAAATACTACAACAACCAGTGTCGATGGCCACTCCGGTGAATATTTTTTAATTGTCGACTAAGTGGAAAATGTGAATTGGCGACCGTTAAGTGTTTTAAAAGCGGACTTTTCGCGCGTCAAACTTCGTCAAAGTGAATGACGAAGAGCTGACGCTGGAACGTAAGCCACAGAAACTATGGTGGCCAATTTACACTATTAACTCAGTTGGTCAACCCAAATTATTGTTCAGG